TGTTGCCTAGGCTGGAATGCAGTGGCGTGATCTCGGCTCACCACAACCTCTCCCTCCCGGGTTCAAGTGATTCTCCTGCCTCAGCCTCCCGAGTAGCTGGGATTACAGGCATGGCACCACCTCGTCTGGCTAATTTTGTATTTTTAGTAGAGATGGCATTTCTCCATGTTGGTCAGGCTGGTCTTGAACTCCCAACCTCAGGTGATTCACCTATCTCAGCCTTCCAAGGTGCTGGGATTACAGGTGTGAGCCACTGTTCCCAGCCTATTTGAAATATCTTTAATGGTAGGAAACAGAGCTGCTTCATTCTTTCTAAGAGTTGCTTTACTTTCCTTTGAGTAGGTGAATCATAATTTTTAAACTCATCTCCTAGTGTTGGGCATTAGTTTGGCGCCTGTTGCAGACTTGCAGGGCATGTCATTGTGTATAGGTCGCTCTGCCCTGTGGCAAAGTACACAGAGGCCCCTGTGAAGATTGTGCAGTAGATGGAGCAAGCTTCAGACTACCGAGACTAGCTCGGCAGTAGAGACCCTGAGCTGAAGGCATTAAAAAACAGACACCCAGATAGAAAAGCAAAGTGGTGCTATCCAGGAGGCCAACAGCCTTCCGAGCTGACAGCATTCTGGGCGGAGGGCCTAGAACAGACTCTGACCATGTAGTTATTCTCTCTGAACAGGTGGTAATTATTAACAGCAGGTGTCCTGTGTTTTCTCACAGAACCAAGATCGACTAGGTAGGCAGCTGGTGCCTACTTACCACTGATAAAGGACAAACCAGAAAGTATTCTCCACGAGGGAGCCCCGGAGGCAGGGTCACATATCCCGTGCTTAAAGAATTGTTTTAACTGGTGTATGATATACATACACTGCTTTGCTACTTTAGAATGCCCCAAGCAGTTTTCCACTTGGCGGTGGGTGGTGGGGAGGCAGCTAGGTTTTCCTTGCCTTTGTCCTTCTTAGCAAACAGTATAATTTATTGTACACTCAGCATTTCTCAGCATCAGGCAGATGTGAACTCCTACCTACAGATGTGAGCTGGTCCATAACTCCTTGCCCGTTCTTCTCGGTCACATCCGTGTTCACCCTACTCAGGCCCAAAAGGTGTGATTAATGACTGGCGCCGCTTCAAGCAGTTGGAGACAGAGCAGAGGGAGGAGCAGTGCCGGGAGATGGAAAGGCTGATCAAGAAGCTATCAATGACTTGCAGGTCCCATCTGGATGAAGAGGAGGAGCAACAGAAACAGAAGGACCTCCAGGAGAAGATCAGTGGGAAGGTAATTAGCACTACCCAGGCTTTTCTTAGAAGCTTCTCTGACTGTTAGAGCCGGATGAGTGATCAAGAGGTGGAGGATACTTGATTTGGCCTCCAAAAAGTTGTGCAGTGCAGGAGAAATCATAGAGCCATGTCAAAACTCATACATACCCAGCTTAGAATCTCAGTTCTGCTACTAGTGACTGTGGGAAAGAATCTTTCCTTTTGAATCTCGTGTTTCAGTGGTTAAATGATGTCAGTATCCTCCCTGAACAGGGCTGTGTGGTTAATATGCCCATTATAGTGTCTGGCCTATTGAAAGTGCTCAGTAAATGTTAGTTTTCCTTCTTTTATTGAGATTTTATCTTGGGCCAGAAATAACTCACTGAGGGTGGTGATATTATCCCCTTTTTACAGATTATGAAAGCAATGCTTAGAGGGCATTAGAGACTTTGTTCAGGGCAGTGCAACTGGTAAATTCTAGTAGGAGCTAGGGTTCTAACCCAAATTTTCCTGTTTTTTCCATGATGTTGCTGTTTCATCTGAAGCCTATTCATGGGAATTTAAAGAGGCATTATAATAAGCAAACAGATACTCTGGAAGATACTTGGAAGTATGTCCCTGATAGCCTTTTTTTTTTTTTTTTTTTTTTTAAAATAGAGACAGGGCCTATGTTATCCAAGCTGGTCTCGAACTCCTGAGCTCAAGTGACCCTCCTGCTTCAGCCTTCCAAAATGCTAGGATAACAGATGTGAGCCATGATGCCTGGCCCCTGATGGCCTCTTATTCAATCAGTATTAAAAGGGATTCACTATTTCCCTGGATGCCCTCTGACTGTGGATGAATGTCTGTGAGTGCTTGGGATGATTTAGCTATGGCCCAAAGCTAAATATCACACAGCATCAGAGAGCAGATAAGAGGATTAAGCTGGGAATCATTCACGTTGACCAGGAGGGTGATTTTAGACATTAGACTTAGCCAAAGACTTCTTCTCAGAAGAAGACTGAGATGGAGTGGAGGGCTATGAGATGGGAAGAAAATCGGCAATAAGTAAAATAGCGAACTCAGAATGTTGCTGGTTATGATACAGTAACAACATGTGGTCTGATCTGGTGTGATCTCCCACTCCCTATCCCCTAATATAGACAACATCAGGCAGAGTTAGGATTTATTCGAGGAGCAGGGACGTATTGCTGCATCAGGGCAGAAGGAAGATGCTCTTGTAGCTGAAGCTGTCTCTTGGGCATTGTGCCCGCCACTCACAGCTGCTTCTGTGTGAGGTGAAAGGCCAGAATGAGGCAATATCATATCATCACATGGATCAGTCTTAAAAGAAGCTGTTCCTGTCCTGCTGATTTATCTGCAGTAGAACAGAACTGGAAACTGAATGCCAGAATTAGGGAAGTGGTTAAGCAAAGTGACACATTATATATAATTTCATAAAAATATTTGGAAACATGAGGAAATACTTAGAATCATGCTAAGTCTCAAAAGCAGGTTATAGCTTAATTGGTACACTCACAGCTGCTGCTATAAAAGCAAAACTATTTCAGTATGTGACTGGTAATAAAAAGAATTTTTAGAGTCCATATGACTGTGTGTGTGTGCGTGGGGATTGTGTGGGGCAGGGATTATGAGGGTTTTTTCTAAAATTCTATGATGTTGTGTTCTCTTTAAAAAAGTGGATAAAATATTGTCAAGATTGACAAAAAGCTCATGAAGTGATTATGATGCTATTTGGATTGAGAGGCGATGTGATAATGTAGTTAAAATCATGGGTTTTAAAATCCTGTTTGAGTCCTGGTCTTACACTTCCTGGGTGCACTTGTCAAATAATGTCAAGTTTTGGAACCTCATTTATAAAAGGGGCTATTAAAAGCCCCTTCCCGATGGAGTTGTGGAATTCATGGAGATATAATACATATAAAGTACTTAGTATGGTGCCTCATATATTATCAGCATATAGTACATGTTAACTATTTAGTTGTTTTATTTTTATTTTTGGAGACAAGGTATTGCCCTGTTGCCCAGGCTGGAGTGCAGTGGCATGATCTTGGCTCACTGCAACCTCCCCCTCCTGGATTCAAGCGATTCTTGTGCCTCAGCCTCCTGGTAGCTGGGACCACAGATGCACACCACCATGTCTGGCTAGCTTTTTGTATTTTTTTTTTTCTTTTTTAAGGAGAGACAGGGTTTTGCCATGTTGGTCAGGCTGGTCTTGAATTCCTGACCTCAAGTGATCTCCCCGTCTCAGCCTCCCAAAGTGCTAGGATTACAGGTGTGAGCCACTGCACCCAGCCCATATTAACTGTTATCACAAGTGTTCAGTTTTCATATTTATGCTCACTTGCTGGTCCGCCTGCAGATGACTCTGAAAGAGTTTACCATGATGAATGAGGACCAAGATGATGAAGAGTTTCTGCAGCAGTACCGGAAGCAGAGAATGGAAGAGATGCGGCAGCAGCTTCACAAGGGGCCCCAGTTCAAGCAGGTTTTCGAGATCCCCAGTGGAGAAGGGTTTTTAGACATGATTGATAAAGAACAGAAAAGCACTGTCATCATGGTTCATATTTATGAGGATGGCATTCCGGGGACCGAAGCCATGAATGGTTGCATGATCTGCCTTGCCGCAGAGTACCCAGCTGTCAAGTTCTGCAGGGTGAAGAGCTCAGTTATTGGCGCCAGCAGTCGCTTCACCAGGAACGCCCTTCCTGCCCTGCTGATCTATAAGGGGGGTGAATTGATTGGCAATTTTGTTCGTGTTACTGACCAGCTAGGGGAAGATTTCTTTGCTGTGGACCTTGAAGCTTTTCTCCAGGAATTTGGATTACTCCCAGAAAAGGAATTCTTGGTGCTGACATCTGTGCGTAACTCTGCCACCTGTCACAGTGAGGATAGCGATCTGGAAATAGATTGAACTGATAGTCTGCTTCCATAGATTTCTCATTGTTTGGGTTGGAATATACATGTCGTTGTTTATTTTTGTTCTTCCTTTGTCTTCCGGCTTTTCAGCTGCTCTTTGTAGTCCCTTTTATTTTGTGTGAAACCAAGAAATTCTTAGATTAAATCAGAATGCTGAATAATCTTGTGGCTAGCAGTAAGGTGACTTAAAATTGGATAAACAGGAAGCCAGGCTTTTGAACTGTTTAGTTAAGATTCTCTGGCGTGACGTCTCTGTTATTGTTTCCAGTCAATATTTACAAAGCATCCTAAAGACAGTGTCTTGGAAATTGACTTCAGATGATCTCAGAGATCTCTGCCAAGACTGAGAGTATAATTCTGTAGGTAGTGTGTTATTTGCAATGTAAATAGTGCATTTTCTTAATCAAATGATTGTAAACTATATTTACTTGTAATCAGATCCATAGCTCCAGACAGTGGTTAGATTTTTTTTTTTCCCCCTAGACCCCCTTCTCCACCAGGGTCTTGTTTAAAGGTTCCAGATGACGCGTGTTTACCTCATCAGGAGGGGTGGCCTCTGCTGCTGGATTTGATGTCCTCCTCCGGCATTCCTAAGTCTGACACAGCAGGAAGGGTCGATGCTGCCTGACCTGGTGATGTTGGAAGACAAGTACTTTATGGATTTAAACATTAGAGCTGGAGTGGGGCTGGAAACTTTGTAAAGGAGGATCTTTCAATAAGATGCCCCGCTTGTCTTTGTCTCTTTTTTGTTTAACCTAGATTATTTTTAAAACTTTTTTTTTTTTTTGCATATTGGAATACTCTTATTCGGTAGAGGAAAATTGACCAAAACAGAAGCAAAAATAAGAAAATTAAAATAATCTCTAACCCTACCACCTAGAGTGAAACACTATTAATATTTTGGTCTCCTTCCTGCCCAGGT